AGTAGGTATTATGAAATGCAAAAAAAAACAGATGATGTAACTTTCATTTGTCTAGAGAAATTTCTTCCCATCAAGCTTTTTAAATCTACTGAATTCGTGTACATGAACAAGTAATTGGGCCCTTACATCACGAGAGTTTTTGGTTGATAATATACTTGATAAAGTATCCTATCTGGTAGTTAGATAACCAGTCAAGAAATTAAAACCATCTATATCGAATGAAAAAAATTGACACTCAATTAAAAGTGATTAAAAGTTTTAATCATTCTCATTACAAGTAGGATCAAATACCTGACAAAAATTTCGTCAATTTTATTTATTGCATATGTGAAAAGGCATAAAAATGATTATTAGTTATTAATAGTTAGTTAGTTAATTTATTTTTTAATTAAATGCAGTAACTGATATTAAAGAAGAAAGTACTGTAACACTCCCAACACCACCATCGTCATTAGCACTTTCATTTCCGATGATAACAACAATGATTTACACAAATGTAATGAATCCATCTATGAGAAGTTCTATGAATGAAGTTCAATCAAGTGGTATGTTTACATAATGCAATTTCAATTTCATTGGTTATTAAATATACTCGAAAAAGTTCCATTTATTTACAAGTTAAAAGTTCATTGAATCATAAAGCGATATACTGAGTGACGGAAACTCATTGTCAGTGCAGTACAATGACATATAAATTCACCCTCAATAAGTAAAAGTAATTTTACATTGGTTTTCAGGAGAAACAAAAACTGCAAGGTGGACGGTACAGTTTAATCCTGTGGAGCAACCACAAAGGTACCTGACACCTTGGTAGACCATTCACACCATTTATATAGACCGAAACATAAAGTGATTATTTCCAATTCATGATCACGTCAATAAGTATTCACAGCATGAACAGGACTATTTGACCTATCGCGCTAACATGATTATCGAACCCATTATTATTATTAGCAATGGTGATATACATTACAGCATTCTTATGACAATGACCCTATGAAATTTCGCAAGACAACCATCAATATCAATGAAATCGGTTACCTTGCAAACCAAATTTCTATGTGGACTATTAGCAAAACTTGCCAAAGTAATGCCAAACCTTCCACACTCTTTATCTCTGGTTTCAAAGGAAACCTTCATCTCTTTACAGTAATATATCTGATGGTATATACATCTTATGGCATAGGATAGTAAGGGATGCTGTCCAGCTTGACGCAAATGGCTTCAAACACACTCATTAACTTATTCTCAAAGGCAAAATTTTCATCTTTCCAACCGTATGGAACCTAAGTTAGCTGTGAGTATTGTTAAGTTGAAATGAAGATGTATGAACAGTAATTAAGAAATCTCGGTAGAAACAATCCTTATAATAATAACTGATATAAATTGTAACTATTTTATAAATCTAGGAGTAGTAAATGAAAAAGTAAGCAAACCATTAAATGGATAAAACAACTGTCGTAAAGAAAAAGATCTTTGTAAACGAATACTTAACATAATAACTGTTTTCTTCGAGTAACTTGGTTTTTATCGAAAATTCTTGAAATATTATCATTTTGTAAGCAGAAATTACATTTGACACGATTTTCATACTTTTTTTTATCGTTAATTTCAACTGGGAATTGCTTTGGTAGTGTTTGAACCTCAAGTTCGTAACTTTATTCAATCTAGTTAAAAATATGAACCAATAATCTATGATGATAACATGAAGTTCAAAAAGGTGTAGTTCTGTTTAGCGTGTACTGCAGTACAAACATAACTGTAACTGAAGCAAGTCTAAATAAAAAGTAAACTTCATATTTTCCCGTCATTTTGCTTAAAATTCTGCGTATCTAAGTTATCAGAAGCTCAAAACTTAAGATTCCAGGATGAATTCACTAAATCAGGAAAGAAACATGTGGAACCAATGCATTTTCATTAATTCAATAAAGTTCATGAATAAGTATATCTGTTGTATTGTGAATGCTTTCAAATCAATTCACGTCGAATCTCCAACTAGTAAATGCGTAAATTTTCAGGATTCTAACGAATAGGCTTGACATTTCTTGAAAATGACCAGACCACTTACATGTGGTCCTTGCTCTTCTTCTCTACAATCAAATTTGTGACAACATCAAGCAAACTTATGTGCACAGTTGTTTACCCATATCACAGTTGTTGTGTTATGAGTAAAGTCTGACAGAATTACTGTCCAAGTCTTTATGTCAACAGTGAGAAATCAATCTAGGCTGATGAAATTCCCAAGATAAGTGGCACATAATGTATTTACTTTCTGCTGTCAAATTACAAATCAATAGGAGCCAATAATAAAGCAATACTTAGCATGTTAGGGATGAAAGGTTCAGCTCAGATCATTTCTGAATTTTCAGTATAAATGATCAGAAAGCTGCATTTTATCAATATGTAGACAAGACAGAACCATACTAAAACTTACAAATCCTGGATTCACAATGATTTCGTAGACACATAGAAACTAGACTTTGTCTCTTAATACATTTCTATGTGCAAAGCATATAATGATTTTTTAACAATGTAAACAAATGAACTAATTGGTTTCCACAAATCCGTTTGCCATTGTTTTTTCAAGTTCATGAGAAAGGATTCCCAATTTGTTTAACAAGCTTTATCACCTAATTTGTATATAAAATGCTTGTTTGCTGACTGATTTAGTTTAGTACAACATCCATATTACTTAGAATTCTCAGGAAAGATTATAATTGAATTTTTCAGTCTGAATATTATTTCTTATATATATTTTCACCAGATATGGATGCTACTGCGACTGATGTAATTCTTCCTGAAAATTCTTTGGATACGAAGCACATTGGTAAGTTTTTCTACTGAACGCTAATTAGATTTATTCATTTATCATGTACACAGTTGCGATTGATTTTATTCATGATTGTTCCAATGACAATTAAATTTGTCACAAATTATTTCCACGTTGTCTAATTTTTGTAGTTGTCAAAGTTGCAAAATGACAGCTTCATTATACTTATTCAAAAAGGAAAAATATTTCCTAGCATAGTAGTTCGTAATCTTATGTACATTTTCTTGACAATTAACCTCTCAACAACAAGGAAGCGAAAAGAAAGACATTCGAATATATTCATTGAGAACTAATGTAGTTTGAACAGAGAAATAAGAAGACATTTTTTGTGAGATAGTACCATTTCGTGCTTTCTCGTCAGTCACATACAAGCAACATGTTATTTGTGTAAATACAGTTTTGAAGATAAGGTCAAAATTTCCTATTTAGCATGACATTCACTCACTAGAACCATGGTAAACAAATGTCAACATACAGTTGTTTTTGAACACATAAAGTTGGACTTTTCCGACCAATCAAGATAGCTTCGAGTAGTTTCAGTGTGTGTGGGTTTTGATTACATGTCACAACTCTAAAGGCTGATTTTGAGTCAATTTGATGACCACTCATCATTAGATGTTTTGCGATGGATGAGGCTGGGTTGCTTGATCGATTTTGAGATGATGGGCTAGGTTGATGAATCATGGATTTGATTAGCAATTTTGGAATATGTTCTCCTATCCTGTCTTCCAATCGGCGATCTGTCCTCCCTAAGTAACTTTCTCCGCAGTTACATGTGAATTGGTAAATACAGTGGGATTTGGACTGAATCGGTCTTGGAGACTTGATTGGGGTAACTGAGATCGATTGGGTTGTTGTGATAAGCCTCAGATTAGCTGCATTGAAGGTCTTTTTTATTGCAGCTGCAGTCTGTTTGGTTGTAATTTTCATGCAATGATCACCCTTGAAAGGTAACTGTAGGTACACTGGTTTCTTGGGCACATCAGTTGCTATCAGCTTCGTCGTAGTTGTGTTCTGATGACCAATAAACGTTTCGGGATATCCGTTTGATTTAAGTGTCTCAGTAATAAGCTTGAATTCGTCGTTCAATGTATCAGCAGTGCAGATTCTACTTGCTCGAGCGAATAAAGTTTTGACAACAGAACGTTTATATTGTATGGGGCAGAAACTAGTGAAGTGGAGGTACTGTCCCGACCGGGTGGGTTTGCGGTGTACTTTTCGTCTGATTGATCCGTCTGGACGGCGATGGAGCAGGATATCCAGGAAGGCTAATTGATTATTCTTTTCTTCCCCATAAGTGACTTTCAGATTCGGGTGAATCGCATTAAATAAATCATTGATTTCATTAAAATCTGTAGAATGTGGTAATATGACAAGAATATCGTCGACATATCGTTTGTAAAGTGTAATACCATCGATGAAGTGACTCACTTGCCTTTCTATCATTCCCATGAATATGTTTGCTAACACAGGTCCGAGAGGGCTTCCCTTGCCATTCCATCGATTTGTGTATATGCTTTACCTTGGAAATAGAGTTTTATATTCTTTGTGCAATGAATTAGCCTGAATTAGCCCACTGTATTTACCAATTCACATGTAACTGCGGAGAAAGTTACTTAGGGAGGACAGATCGCCGATTGGAAGACAGGATAGGAGAACATATTCCAAAATTGCTAATCAAATCCATGATTCATCAACCTAGCCCATCATCTCAAAATCGATCAAGCAACCCAGCCTCATCCATCGCAAAACATCTAATGATGAGTGGTCATCAAATTGACTCAAAATCAGCCTTTAGAGTTGTGACATGTAATCAAAACGCACACACACTGAAACTACTCGAAGCTATCTTGATTGGTCGGAAAAGTCCAACTTTATGTGTTCAAAAACAACTGTATGTTGACATTTGTTTACCATGGTTCTAGTGAGTGAATGTCATGCTAAATAGGAAATTTTGACCTTATCTTCAAAACTGTATTTACACAAATAACATGTTGCTTGTATGTGACTGACGAGAAAGCACGAAATGGTACTATCTCACTAAATATGTCTTCCTATTTCTCCATTCAAATTTATCATATTGAACCTCTGTATTGAACTAATGTGGTGACCACTGTTAACGTCAATCACTCAAATCAACTTTAAATTATGCCTAATCATATTTATTTCATAATAAGTTCATTTGATCTATTTACTGTATTGTATACTTTGAAGTATTAAACATTTTGGAACAAATAGCACGAACGTATTTACTCATTTGTCACTGATTACTGTATTGGTGAGATTTAATACTTATGTCTACATTAGTTTAACACAAATCAATTGTTGATAAATTGGTACAGTCTTTCTCATTGATTAAATTCACTAGTAATTTTTGATGAAACCATAAACTGATCTAAGTGAGACCGCAATTGAAAATCTTCAAACACTGAGGAGTTCCATACTAGAATTAAATGACCGTTCAGTGATTCAGATTTTTAAATGGTGGTTTAACTTAGGTCAGTTCATCATTTCAGTGATATTCAAAAACCTCTACTTCTTATTGATATATATATATATATATGTATATATATATATATATACATAATTACAAGGACATGAATATTAGAGATACGTGTACTGAAGGTCACAATTTCTCGTAAAGAGAATAAAGTTATTAGGATGGTAAAATAACAGAATAGTTACAGGTTGTTTGTGATATTACAGTTTGTCCAAAAATTAGGATTACCCACGTAGATGAGTGATCAAGTTAAATGTTACTGAAGTAGGATACTCATCTACTGCCTTAACTACCAATTTCAAACAAGTGTTTCATGTATGATCTTTGGTAATCTAAAATTCAGGCCTCAAATAAAAACCGCAAACCTAAAGTCATTTTCACTCATTAGAAAAGCTGAAATGATTTCTGATTTGAACTGCATGTTGATAAAGCAATTGCATTTATAATTTATCTCACTGGAATGATGACACTGCGAACGGTGATGATCGGGTTAATAAATGTTAGTCTCACCTATAGATGTTCCTGCCACTGACATAATTACAGAGCTTTCGGAATTTGAAATATTGGACTCATCTGACTTTCGAATGCCTCTCATTATTAAAAACCGATTTGTACAAATTTTTTTTATCATTTGTCTATCATTCATAATCAAATACGATGAAATTTTCATTTGATAGCGGTGGGATTTCAACTGAAGAAAGATGGTGAATTACTGGAATGGAATGAGAGTTTAAGTGATACAAATTCAGAAGCTTATCAATTGATATCCAAAAGCATTTGCGATTTGGTAAGTTAATATACTCAGAAGTTTTAAATTATTCTATGGTCTATGTGGAGATATGTCTTTTCCAAAAAGATTGAAAACACTTAAATTCTCTAGAAATATAACTACTTATCAACTGCCTCATCGAATGAAGTTACGGTTATTAAAAGTAGGGTTATAAAACAATCACGCATAGAATCAAGCTCAAACTGTTCCAAAACAACATCATGAAGGCTCATTTTTGTTGACAATAAGAAACATTTTTCTATCATTCCGTCTGTAAACTAATGGATTAAGACTATATATTGCATCGACACGACAGGAGGAATGCGAAAATTTATTTTGTTGCCGACATAACATTGAAAGTGAAAAAGATCAAGTTTTAAAGTGGTTAAGATGTATTAGGGTCAAATAGTTGTCTGCGTTAACTTCAGGTATTATTTTTATCTTTGCCATCCAACTCTTTTTTTAATTTCAGTATATACACGCTGATCAAATAAAGTAGTGTGTTGATTGTTAACAAACTTTCTGAAATGAAGTTTACCTCCTCTTTTGTCAAATAGAAACAGAAAGTGATAAGTTTATTATTATTGGTCGATAAACGATATAGGAAAGTTTAGAAATAAAATATTAGAAACAGGATTGGTTGTTATTCAATAAGAGTAATAAACAAAATAGAAAGGAATCACTAATCCCTAGTTCTTCTACATTTACTCAATTTAATACAAACCTATGGTTATTTGCTATGAATAAAACAGATATTTAATTGAGTTAGAATGATAATCTAACTAACTATCATAGCGACCATTGATAAGATGACATTCTGTGCCATTCGGCTACAACCTATCCTTACTAAGTTTTATCTAAACAATGTAATTTGTAATAGAATATTGAAAAGTTGTAAAACTAAGAAGCTACAGTTATGCAATACAGATAGGAGACAAAGATATACAAGTTATCTTGTTCATACTTTATTCTTAGCAAATGTATGGATAGAAACTGCTAACTAATCTTTGTTGCATTTTATTTAATTTAACCTAATCTTGATAAAATTAGAATTCTATTGATTTTTTGATATAAATTTGAAATAAATTTATTTGATAAATATAATATTCGGAGTTGATGGAGATTGAGTTAAATAATTATTTAGGCCATCATAATCATGTAAATGTTATTAGAATTGTAGTGAAGGAGAACACAGGTGAGGGCAACCAAATTATATTTATCGCAAATTACAGAGTTACTCAGTAAAATAGGAAAACTAGATCGTAAACGGTTAATTTACAAATCTTCAATCCATCATCAATCCATTGTCTGACATTTCACTATTCATGCGTTTCATACAAATCCCATTGTGTTCCCACTCTTCTTTTCTTGATTTTCCCTCATCTTCTGCTGCCAGACATTCCGTTTTCACTCGCGTCATATACTACTTATAAGTAGCGTGCACCACAGAATGAATACTTCACACTAGTAATCTATAAATTAACACTATGAATATATATGCTGGAAATTTTGTCCAAGTATTTTACCATTGAGCATTTTTTTCTTTTTCCTAACGATAAAACAGTTTAATGCGATTAAAATAACTTTTATTCTTAATGATTTTGTTGATCTGTTTATTGTACAAATAGATTTTAGAAGCTTTAAATGTTTCACATTTGGATGATCAAATTGTAGAATGTGTATCAGTAGATTTCACTAGCGGTTCCATATTAGTTCAAGTTATTTTACGCATTACCAAACGTAACATTTCTATGAATGCTACTGAATCAGTTGTAACACTGAAAGAAATTATCACAGACTTAATTACCAGTTATGCAAACAGTTCAAAAACTTTAAATGGTCTTGGAATTGATTCACAAAACATTACTTTAGGTAAGTTAATAGATAGATAGATGTTCAAAATTAATTAATGCAAAATGCATTGTTTCAAATTATAGTATATAAAGTTGGAATTATTTTTTTTGAAATAAAATAAAACTGTCAATAATTAAAATTGATAGTGCCTCAAACTTACTCTTTAAACACTAGAATAATTTTTTTTCAACTTTTCTACTCATTAGTATACTACAAATATATTAATTTTATTGTTAAAAATATACCCAATGTTCAATTTATTTCAAATTCATACTGTAGTGAAGGAGAACACAGGTGAGGGCAACCGAATTGTATTTATCGCAAATTACAGAGTAAAATAGGAAAACCATATCGTAAATGGTTAATTTGCAAATCTTCAATCCATTGTCTGACATTTCACTATTCATGCGTTTCATACAAATTCCATTGTGTTCCCACTCTTCCTTTCTTGATCTTCCCCCATCTTCTGCTGCCAGACATTACGTTTTCACTCGCGTCATATACTATTTATAAGTAGCGCGCACCACAATACCTTGATGATTATACCAACAAAATTATTAATATTATTAAAATGACTAATATGAAAATGTTAACTGAAATAAGTTTATACATGCATTGAAATATGGGTCAAATATGAGGATGACAGAAATAATAATACAGTTAAATATTGATAGTGTAGTTAGTTCTGTTAAATTTCCAACGGAAATCTAGATCATCACATCAGATTCCCGCTTGTTCATAAGTAGTTAAATTCGATTATCTCTTTGTTTAATAAATGAACATATATAAATATTAAAAAAAATAATATTTCTAGAAATAATTCGAAAATCCATTATGATTTTACCGGCATAATTAGGCTGATATGGAAAGTAATCTTGGGGTGGGCGCTACTTATAAGTAGTATATGACGCGAGTAAAAACTTAATGTCTAGCAGCAGAGGATGGGGGAAGATCAAGAAAGGAAGAGCTGGAACACAATGGGATTTATATGAAACGCATGAACAGTGAAATGTCAGACAATGAATTGATGTTTTGCAACAGAAAGAGTCCAGTTCGATATGATGGATTGATATTTTGCAAATTAACAATTTACGATATGGTTTTCCTATTTTACCAATTAACTCTGTAATTTGAGATAAATACAGTTCGGTTGCCCTCACCTGTGTTCCCCTTCACTATCAATCTTACATGTTAAAGAAAAATCAACAGAAATAAGTGTCAAATGGTTTGAAAAGATTTATTTCGTAAATTGTATTTGAGAGTAAATTACCCATGAAGACTATAATAATAATATAAGGCAAAAGTTGTCAACTTAGTTGATCGATGTTATTTTCTGAAAAATCGCTTTATGATAAATGTTAATTCGTACATACGACTTTAGAATAATCAATAAAATCAAGTATCACTCATTGATAAAATATTACTTACTTACTTACTTACTTACTTACGCCTGTTACCCCCAATGGAGCATAGGCCGCCCACCAGTTTTCTCCAACCAACTCTGTCCTGGGCTTCCCTCTCTAGTTCTGTCCAATGTTTGTTCATTCCTCCCATATCTTTCTCTATTTCTCGGCGTAGTGTGTTCCTTGGCCTTCCTCTTTTCCTTTTGCCTTGAGGGTTCCATGTGAGGGCTTGTTTCGTGACGCAGTTAGGTGCTTTTCGTAGTGTGTGTCCTATCCACTTCCACCGCTTCTTCCTGATTTCCTCCTCCACTGGAATCTCGTTTGTTCTCTCCCACAGTTCGTTGTTGCTGATAGTGTCTGCCCAAGGAATCCGAAGTGTTGTGCGTAGACAACTGTTAATAAACACTTGTATCTTGTAGATGATTGCTTTGGTAGTTCTCCAAGTTTTCGCTTCATACAGTAGAACTGTCTTGACATTTGTATTGAAAATCCTGATTTTGGTTTTGTTTGAAAGTTGTTTGGAGTTCCAGATATTTTTCAACTGTATAAATGCAGCCCTTGCTTTGCCAATCCGTGCCCTCACATCTGCATCGGACCCACCTTGGTTGTTGATGATGCAGCCCAGATATGTAAAGGTGTTAACGTCCTCCAAGACATCTCCATCAAGAGTGATTTGGTTGGTGCATGTCGTGTTGCATGTTTCTAATGGTGGTCTAACATTGATTGATTCATGGTTTGAAAAATGTGTAATTGAACAAATGCTTAGGCATTCTCATCAAAACATAACGTTAACGAGATTAGAAACAATCGCAAGAATCTGAGTATCAAAAAATTGGTGATGAATCTGTCGAACAGACATTTTAAATCAACATGAATTATCACTACTTAAAAAGGTCTCTATTTCATTATGAATAGACTGCGACTATTAGCTTCTGAAATTATCCAGCTCTCCGGACCCTGTTTGTTATTAAACAATGTTCCGGATCAACAAAGGAATGTATTGAGGAATAAAATCTCATTTATATCATTAAATCAAAAATCTAACCTTTTAAATTTATCTAAAGAGAAAACATTTTCCACAAAACACTTGTGTAACGACAGAAAAATCTGCAGTACGAAAGCAGACAAGGGTGACACTACTGTTATAATGAATCGTTGTCAACAAACATCTTCGCGATAAACCTGATGAAAAAATGAAGAAAACTAAATTTAGAGACACGTTAAAGAAATCGAAAGGTGCGGCCCTTTTAGATGCTATAAGCTATGGAATATTCATAAAATGAATATTCTACTAAGACCTGTCGTTCGTAAAAAAAATTTACCGACGTTTAATATTTCTAAATACTCAGTTAAGATTCTCAAACTATATGAACGAGAAATAAAATTTAGTTTTGAAAATTCTCAAGAATTCAAAGACATCATCACTATCATCCATATGAAAGATGATGAATTAACGGCAAGTTTCAATGTTCGCTCTTTGTTCACCAGTATTCATATTGAAGAGGTGTTGGATACTGTATGTAATCATTCAATTTCCGATAATGAAATAAAGTAATGATATCCACTAGATCCCTCAGACATCAAAAAAGCTCTGGGACTAGGTTTACAGTTTACCTCATTTAATTGTTGAGGAGAATTGTTTAAACAGACAAAAGATTTGGCGATGGTATCACCGGTATTTCTAATTTTTACTAACTTGTTTATGTATTCATTGGAAACAAGTGCAATATCAGTTTCTTCTTCCATCAAAAGCTTGTTTGCTGTATGTAGATAAGCGCTTTGTTATTAGAAAACGAAACAGACTTGATGAACTCTTTAAAACAGACAACAGTATGTCTGAAAAAATCGAATTCACTATGAAGGTGGAATCTACTGACCAAAATTACCGTTTCTGGACTGTTTAGATGAAAAGAATAGTAAAGATTGTTTGAAAATTAATATTTTTTCTAAAGCCAATATATTCTGGATAATATTTGAACTATAGATCAGCATATTCTCATTCCACCAATGTGACAGCTGTTAAGAATTTGATAAACAGAGTTCAAAAACTTGGCACTGAACCAACTGACAGAGAAATTGAAATGAATTTAATTACATTCATTCTGATGATGAATTGTTTTTTTTAAGGAATTTATGAAAGGACTAATTAAGAAAGAAGTTTAAGTTGTGATCTTATATCATGATGAAGTTTCAGAACAGATGAGAAGAATCCTAAATCACAACAGTAAAAGGGTATTCTTTCGAATTATTAAGAATCTCAGACTCAGTACCAAAGCAGGAACAACACAATTATGTATTTGCGATCAGATGTAATGACTGTCACACTAGATATGTGACAGCTGATTTTGAGAGTGAAAGAATACACACATTACTTAAGACCCATTCCTAAAGCCTCATAGGACCTGAAAATACTAGAGAATAAGTCGGCGATAGTATGACACTTAATAGAGTCTAGTCATATAATTTATTTTTATGTCACAAGAATCTTTCAAAAACGTTTTGGTTTACATAAGAAAAGACTAACAGTTGAAACCCTACACAAACAATGATAATAGGTGTGATAGACTACAATTAGCTGTCCCATGGCAGTTGACAATTAATAAGTAAACTTGAACTGTCTTTTTTATCTGTCACTTATTATATGAACAACAATAATTGCTTTCATCTGCTTTAATAATTTAGTTTATCTGGATATATAATGTTTACGTATGTTCATTTTATGCATGCTGTGACACGTTGAATACATCTCGCTTATTAATTTATCTGATTTTTTCTTCAAAATTCAAATTCACTTATAAAATCATACATCTGTTATCTTAACATAATTTTTCACACCAAATGCATCATACACATTACAAACGATTAAGATCATTTTCTCTATTGTTAAAGCGATGGGATGATTTTATAGATATCAGTACCAAGGTTGAATTTGGTCATTTCAAATGAATTGAGCATTGAGTAGCAAGTTGTTAATAATAATTATTATTATTTTGGTTGATAACCCCCCAATCAGTAGAAATTTGTATTTCTGATATTTCGTCACTTAATGAAAGTCACTTCTTCTGAGCAAATAAGTGGATGACCGAAATAAATTAATACACGTTTAAATAGTAGAAAGAAAAACGCAGAATATTCTTAGTGATTGCATCTCCCTTTTGATCTGTTTCTTGATCCTATGTCACCTATGATTTTCCCGATTGGCTGATAAATTGGGTCAATGTCGATGTGTTTGTTGATTGCTGATTGACCTGAGTGCCAAGCTTCTAAAAATTCCCTAGTGTTCTTTGTCCTTCCCCTACCCAGTATTTCCACATTGTTCCAATCAAATGTGTGTCCACGGTTGTCGGTGTGTATTGATATAAGCGAAGCGTTGTCGTGGCATTTGACTGCTAATTGGTGTTCAAGTAAACGAAGCTGAAGAGGCTGTCCACTTTGTCCTGTGTAGTGTTTTTCACAGTTTGAGCAATGTGGGTTCGCTATGTAGACGACACATTCGTCATCATCAAAAAGAACGAGCTGGAGGATATATACAGTCAGATCAACAACGTCTTCGATGACATTAAATTCACGATGGAAAAGGAATCAAAACAGTCTATTATTCGTGGATGTACTAATCACCAGAACTAACGCAGGAAAACTGGAAACTCAAGTATTTCGGAAACCAACCCACACAGCCGTGATTCTCAACTACGACAACAACTACGGCAACAACCCAAGAACCCACAAAATCAACTACATACAAACTTTGTTCAAGAGAGCGAAGACACACTGCAGCACATACAAAGCATTAAAAAACGAGGAAAAACACCTGGTGACTATCTTCCAAAAGAACGGCTATCCACGCAACTTCATCAAAAAACATCAACCGAAACCATCATCAGAAGCGAAATCAAGCACAGAAACCAATAAACGGATCATCCTGCGAATTTTCGATGTTCATAATATTGATTTCGTGGTTATTGAAAATAACATGTATTGCTATTGCCAATTTCATCTGTAAGTTTTTCCAAACTCCACGGGATTGTTCATGTACCGCCTCCACATATACTCCAGTTCGCTTACATTTAATTTGGTTAAGCCCTTTCGATTAATTTATTTAACTAAGCCATTTGTGTTGCAACAATTTATATGTACTATTCGTTCTTATTATTGTCTGGTTTGTATGAGATCACATGACGTGTTCCACTTGTCATTTGACCCTGTCAACTATTCGTCGCTTTTATTCATGTGTGCCTATTTCGCTTGTCACATGTTTGTCTTATATTTGTCTGACTATATATTCTTAGTCACTCTCTATCTCTTTGAGTTGGCTCAACAGCCTTCTCCAATTCATGTCGCTTCGTTCGTCTTATTCACTGCTTCTTGGCTTCGCTTTGTGGTGTGTGCCAAATAAACGTATTCCTCACTACGAGTTCACCTTCTGATTTATAACCGTCAGACGCTAGTTAGTAACGATTGTCTGGACGAGCTAATTACCGAGCTTATGAACACACGCAGTAAATCAGCCACCACATTAAGAAGTACTTTTGTGTAGCCTACTTTGGGCACGAGTCAAGGTTTCAGTAGAAGACTCCTCAGTATAGAACGCATCACAATGGACTTAGTTTGTAGGCAAAACTATGTATGGATGCGAATAGATCTTGTCGTTGATTTTAACTAAAGCATTTTGTAAACTAATGGTTGTTTTATCGAAAGCTTTAATTCGAAGTGTATCGTGAATCTTCTGTTGTATCTCTGTGGTGTGGTAAAACCATAGCATCATTTCAACGACTGTCTTTAGGATTGGCTTCCATAAATGTATAGTTTCATCTTAAAAAGCTTTTAATAATGATCCTTTTAATAATAATTATTCAGCCCGGAAAATGTTCATCACATCACTTTTTTTTTCCTTTAGACGATCTCAGTCTGCAGTAATGATTTTTGTTATCCCTTCTAAATAGAAATTTTTCGCACTGTACTGAGTTGAAGTCAATGTACCGATTGAAATGTTTTGTTTTTCATATTAGATGGTTAGATTTAGATTTGTATTAGAATTCTTTCTAACTAAGAATGGTAGTTCATTCACTACGTTTATCTTTATTTTAGACGATGAATTTGATAATTTCAGACTCAAACGTATCATGATTTCAATTGTAATAAAAAAATATTTTATTTTGTTTGCTGTTTTACTATTTAAACTTGTTTTAATTTGTTTCGGTTATTGATTTATTTACTCTGAAGAAGGGACTTTTACTACGTCTCCAAACGTTAGAAATAGAAATTGCAATGATACAAGAAACACAACTATTGTTTCTCAACCTGAATAAATAATTTCAAAACTTTTTAATGTTTGTGATATATATATATGATAAATGCAATTAAAATTTAAACATATTTTATTTTTTCCAATTTTTTAAAAAAACTTAGAACATATTGATTACAAAGACGAAACGGATGTTCTACCACCTCTCACAGATTCTTCAACAGAGCTATTTACACAATATACTTCAACCACTGATTTCATTGATCAACAGTCAGAGATAACAACAAATCAGTATGATAACATAACAGTAAATCTATGTAAGTTATACTAAAAAATGTGACTAAGCAAACAATAGTTCTTGAGCAATGGGTATATTTTTACATCAGCTACTTTGATCAGATTTGAAAAAACGTGTTGTTCGCGTACATGGGTACTTAGGAAATTCATTTTTTTCCATATCTTTCTGGTTATTATAAGTTAATGTTGCTTGTCAATGCACTAATATTTACTCGAAGAAATTAGAATTTTCACGTTGTAGCTGACTGACTGATCTACTAGAACTAAACATCATTATCAGTATATGATCAAAACAAACTATCTCTTAAGTGAGTGAATAGAATATCGTTAGCGCGTTTCGTCTTATTTGAGAATCACCAGCTAATGTCCATTAAGAGATTTAAAATCATTTCTTTCCTATTTGAGTACTGACTCCACTCGTCTTCCTGATTCAGATTGCCACTCACTCTTGAAACGGGAACGGATATGCCAAATGTGACAAAGTGCGTCTTCGAAATTCTTCTGCTGTATAAACATGTACTATGATGGATACACCAAAGCTATCCACAGAGCATGTATATATGCCAGCTAAATTTGGTCGAATTCCAGTTAAGATATTAAAAATGCGATAATTCAAATCAATATCAGTTGATTATAAAGTTATGGAGATTAGTGTTTTTCATTGAAATCATGAATCATTCATTGTTAAATCACTATCAAAACCCTGGAAGAATTCGGGGGCCGCTTCGTCCTACCATTGGACTTTTAGGTAGTGTTCATTCACCACCCCTAACGGGAATGTAATCTAGTACCTTCGATCTCGTGAGCGAACGCTTAATCTCTAGACTACTGAGCCGACATCCAAAATTTGCGCAAAACCTTAGATTGATTAAAGTTACACATCGACACCGTTGAACATCGGCTCAGTGGTCTAGAGGTTAGGCGTTCGCTAGCGAGACCGAAGGTCTTGGATTCCATTCCAGTGAACGGGGGTCATGTATACTTACTGCCGAAGAGTCCTATACTAAGAAGAAACGGCTCTCCAGTACTACTAGGCTTCTAATGATGATCTAACATTGATCGATTCATCATTTCAATCAAAATCAGTTAAATTAATTTTTTTGTTTGTTCTTACGTATGACTGAAGCCAACAAATGAAAAATACTTAATCCATACAATTGCATATTTGTTTGTCAACTCTTTTCTTAAGATTTGAATTTTACAATCCGAAGCTCTAACAATTCACTATTATGGAATGATGATCTACTGAACACCACTTCAACTATTTATCAAGAAATATCTGGAATTGTTTGTCAAATTGTGAGTAAATTTCATTCTTAGAAAGATTTCTTACATTTGGTGTGTGTTTTAATGACTTATTTAACAGAAAGTATTGTTTTGCTGTGCTTTCTGTCAACTAAATCAGTCAATGTTTATGAAAAACATTCAGTTGAATTTAACAACAAAGTATTCATATTTCTGTGTTGTTTATAAAACGTTTAACAGATATCTAAAATAAATACATAACAGTGCCAATATATTTCTGTAATTATTTTTAAACTTTCAGTAATCCTGGTAAGATGTTCAGTTGGTTAGAAAAGCTATTAACATATGAAAGGACACTAGATAAATCAATTGATTCTCATGTATGTTTGGTACTTATCTGATGATTGACTGTGAAGAATAACACTTGAATTATGTGCCCACGTCAAATATATTTAAAGAAAATCCATTTTTGCATCTGTTATTGTTGTTTAGTCAGCAAGAGTTTTTAAAATGCAAACGATCATTTCAACAGAATGAATCAAATGAAGTACTGATATTGAAACAAAATGCCTTATGATAATTCTTAGTTTTACAATAACTTACTAGTAACAAATTTATAAGACATTAGATTTCTATGTTACTTTGTAAAATCCATAGTGGAGAGGATATCTACTTTTTTTGTAGTGATGAAGCATCTTTAAACGAATTGATAATCCCTCCTAAATAGTAATGTCTTAATTTACTGCTTTGCATAACTCCTTAAAGTTCGATGACCTTAAGGCTCTAATTTTACGCAATCAGTATAGATGAAACAGCAAAACATTGTTCAGTTACATTTATTTCTTTTAGCAGTTAGTCTTCGTGAAGTTTTATTACTGAAAAATTCTCTTTGTATTAAAAGGCAGATAATATGAATGAAGAATATTCGTTTCAGTAAATCCTCTTCCGGTTCTACAGTTATTTATCCAAATTAATAATCCCAAAAGTAGTAGCCAGGTTTTAGGCAAAATGCATCGTTTAAAGCTACAGTATTTGAATTGAGAATCGCTTATGATGTAAATACTTAATTTTGGATGACGAACATGAAATGTACACTTGAACAAGTTTGTACGTAAAATGACATTGTGATATCAATGTCACAATAAATATGATTAATATGGAGATGGATAATAATATAATTACAAATTTTTGTCGTTTTGATTTTGAACACAACGTTACGAAGAACTGAAGGTTTGTATACTAGAATAATTCATCCTCAGGTATCAGAAAATGCAAACTATTCTCGCTTCAGTGGTTTTGTTAGAGTTCAGTACAAAGCCGTTTCCAGTAAACATCTGTTTCTAAGAGCCTGATGTATGATAATTACACTTCGGGACGGAAATTACAGAGTATTTTTGTCATGTGCGCACCTAACCTTCACTACTGCATTAAAATCCTCTCGTGTCGGTTTTGGATTGTTTCATCTGGCTTCTGTTATGATCTCCAAAGTGTTCCAAACATGTAATACTTTTAACCTACTGAAACTCTTTTCTTCGGTACTTTACTGTATCAACATTCAAGTGATGTCTTTCTAAACGCTACCTTTGAGCAGTCTTGTGGGTGGCATCCACCATATTGGTTAACCTCAATAACATATTATAAAATGGAATTTTCAGTATAGAACTTGAATTAAATTGTCACCCAAGAAATTTCGTTAATGGCAGTAAAAGTGAACTATTGTAGACCTGAAGTCTTCTTTTTAAACTCCAACTATTCTTCTTCCGTAGTTGCAGGCTGAAGAGTGACGTTCAGTTGAGTTTAAGTTTTATAAATCAGTCACTTGCCGTTATTTACTTACTCCTGCTACACCTAATATAGCATGGGTCACTGACCAGGGTTTCCCAATCAACTCTATCTTGGGCTGTCCTTGTTGTTGTTTTGAATTCCAGATGTTCTTCAGTCAAAGAAGTGCTGACGTTGCTTTGATATTCATGTCTTCGCATTTGCACCATACAAACTTTGTTTATTAATGATGCTTCCCAGGTGCGTAAAGATCTCAAAATTTTCCATTTCTCCACCATCAAATGTTATTTGATTGGTGCACATCATGCTTTGTTGTATCAATAAGTCTGTCTCAGAGGCTTTTGCCAACCTGTGTCACTTATGGCGTAGGCGAGATTTTCGGTTGCTGATTAAAAGACAAGTCTACTGCCCAGTAGTTCACTCCGTCCTACTTCATGGTTGTGAAACATGGGCAGTCAGAGTAGAAGATATTCGTAGGTTACTGGTTTCCGATCATTGGTGTCTCAGAAGCATTGCTCGTGTATCATGGGACAACCGAGTAAGCAATGCTGTTATTAGGAAATGGGTGCTAGGTAAGGATGGCAGGTTAATAGATGAAGTATTGAAACTTCATCAGTTGAGGTGGTTGGGAAATGTGTTGAGTATGCCTAACCACCGACTCCCTCGTCGAGCTATATTTTGCAGTGTAGGAAAAGTTTGGATGAAAGTTAGGGGTGGCCAAACCAAAACATGGCAGAAATCCATGAAGTCACTGACAAGTGGATTGAGTCATGTCAGTAGGTGTCGACTACCTAGTTAGGGTCCGGAACATGATAATAATCGTTGGTTAGAGACTCTGAATGACACGGCTCAAAACCGCTTGCCATTCTGGAGGTGCATTCATTCTTTGTGTTTTCTCAAGCCTTAACATTCTTGATTACTCATTACTTTATCTTCTTTTTTTAAGTTTGTTTCACTAAATTCTACTTCTTGACTAATATCTCCTAACTCTTACCTGTTCGATTACTGCTAATACCTGTACTATCTCTACTGCTATAGGATTTGAATTGACAATTGCATCTCTGTGCCAATGTGATATGGCAACATGAACTGATGTACGTACGTACGTACGTATGAAGCTCTACGTTGCCATTGATTGATTGGTTGATTACTGTACTAGATGAAGATTATTTTAGTCTTCGCGTTACATTATCTGATTGTAATTAAGCTCGAGAATGGTTAAATATTCCCAATGAAGGGAAATGTTATAACAGATATTTACCAGTATAATAAAATTATGGTCTGAATTAGCGTAGCGGCCAGATTAATTGAAAGAGCTGGAATATTCACAAGATCTAAGTTTAATGAATCAAATAACTAAGAGAGAGATACACAAAAGAACATTTTACAAATAATACGAGCTTCCATCAAAATTTTTATGTCCAAGTATTGCAAATATTTGTAAGTAAACTACAAAAGATTGCACTGATGAGGAATATACAACTGAATCGTATTTTTAGGCGTTCTAAATAAATCCATCGAATAGGTATTCCAGATAACATATAGATAATATCCTTTTCTGCACTGAAAACAAATTCTTTACAAAAATTATCGGTTTGAGTGAACGGCTATATTCCTGTTCTGATTGAAATAATTCAATGACTACTATTGTTAATTAGGTGGTTGATGGGGTAATATTCTCATAATACTGAATTCGAAAACTCTTAATAACTAGACCTTTTAATAAGAGAATTATTAAAGTAAAGGTTGTAATACCAGTTAGGTATCACTTCAGTTCATTGTTTCGATTTCTAGGCTAAGGTGAGGCAACAGCTATAAGCTTTGGATAAATAATCCGCTGTAACCATACGTACATTTGGAAGCGTACATGATACTTATTTGAACCACTTCCGTATGTCCATTTCATGTTCTAATCCAGACAACGAATAATTCCAATTAAAACAGTTGAATGATAGACAAATCTTCATAAGTTTTGACGGAGTATGTATCTTGTAGATTAAAATGCTTCTAAAACGAATATATAAATAGGTAATTCAAAATGTATATAGTGAGATATGTATTTATTTATGAACTTTTGCTCATATGGTATTGACAAATATTTTTAAACAAAACTTTCAGCTTTTATCAGTCATGAGATCGACTTTGTCATCCATTTGGATTATTGAGTGTGGCACTATAAAATTTGAAGAGGGATCCATTGGTGTTCATGCTGAGCTTATTTTAATGATGAATTCATCATGGACTGGTACAACATTTGAAAGTGCATCAACTATGTTAAATGATACTTACTTATTGAAAGAAATATATGAGCATATTTCAGCGATGAATCAAAATAATACATATGGAATTTATATTGATTCAAATTCAAGTATTTCATTAGCATGTAAGTCATTTGATAAAATTTCATAAGGTGGCAGCGACAAAAACATAGTCAAAAAAAAATTCCTTCCATACCTTGTCAATTTCATTGGAGTTGGCTGCACCTATTGTATTAAGATTTTCATTTGTATATTTACATATTTTCAAATATTACACTGAGATTTAGCTTAACTCTAGTGTGAATGTTCCCGGCTTTTTCTCTTTATATCGTGTTCCATCATGAAAGCCAAACCTATCAAAGTGAGGGTGTTATAGATGATTGGGGAGGGGGGGGGGTGAATAATATTCGGTTTGAAATCAGCTACTTCTTGACATTTCGAGAATTTTCGACAATCTGATTGCACTACTGACACATTGTATTTCTAAACAATTTTTTTCCCAAATAAATATTCTCAATCATTACTTGATGCTTTAGAACTGAGCACTGACAAGGTAATCTTACCTTCTATGGTTGACTGATTTTCTTTGATGCATTATACTGTCTTTACCTCATCTTTTTCTGAATAGTCTTGAAAATCCTAGAAAGTATTCAGTAATAATTATATTTTGAGTATGTACACTAAATTTATAAAACTACTATCAGGACGAGTCTACCAGTTAATAAATTAAGAAGAGTCTACGTCGCTTGCTCATAGTACATACATTTGAAAAGTAGATGAATTTCGTTTTTACTTAAATTTTTGTCAGAAGTTTTGTAATTTCTATCAGACACTTAGTTGATTAGCCACAGAATCATTTTAACTTGAGAAATTAACACTGTATAGATCTAGTCATTTGACCTCAGTTATTGTCAAAACAACACTGTTGCAGAGGCACGAAACATATCAAATATATAGATGAATTATTTTCGATAAGTTAGCAAAATTATTTGTTGTTAATAGACTTAATTATCAGTATTTAAACCCTTTTATGAATGATTTAGAAATTTGTGATAACTGATGACTACACTCAGTACACCTTAGAGTTTAGAGATATCATTTTAATCGTTCATTGATGCAGAAAATATTGTTTAGGCTTATTTGTTATTTATTTTTACTATACTTCATGTCTATCTACGTAAATCTTTCCGGTCTAAGTTAGCTAACTATTCCCCCCTTAAAAACCTGTCCACGGATAGAACAAGAGGATTGAAATTGATTGAAATAAAGATCCGTGTTTGTTTGAGCATGCATGCTGTAATAACTGTAACAATGGATTGTACACATTCTCCTGTTCACTAGAAACATGGAAGTTTGAGAAAATGTAGTTAGATGCGAGATATTTTGAAGGATAAGGCCATGATTCTTGTAAAGCATTACAAAGCAATTCAAATAATACTTATAAATGAACGCATATTTAATCATTAAAGTTGGGTTATGATAAATTATTTTTGAAGGCACAAATGAGCTATTTTGTAGAAATAAATAAGTCTTCCTAATTTAGAGATTTCACGAGGGATTGATGATTTGCAAATGAAACTCGGAAAGACCTTTGTAAACACTCAGATGTCATCGAAATAACTTGTACCAGATGTTGTTTTCAAATGACATCTAATTTTCGTCCCTAATAAACCAAAATATCTTAGTTTCCTATCATTGAAATTGTTTAAAAGAATAATTTTGGAAAATAACGCATCAGGAGTAAACTCTGATTATATAAACTCAGATAATAAAATACACTTTAACTATGCAAAACCTGGTTATCCATCTGAATGGATTCATAAGACCTAGAATCAGAGTATATGTGTTCAAAAATGAGAAAGACACAACTACGTAAGGCTTTACTTTATTTATGTGAACCACTGTACTGTTCAAAAATCACTTAGCATTCCTTTTACAAAAAGGTAAAACAAACATCTGGGGTTAGGAATACTTCAATTTTAAGACTGAGAAATACTACTTCAGCTTTTAATTAATTTTCAAAGTTCTTATTACTGTACTTTGAATATGGGAATCTTTTTTGTAAGTGTTATATATGAAGGTAATCAATGATCTTATATTGGCTGATATTGGATAATAACATTTGTAGTATACCATTATCTGATTGACATTTTCTTTGTGCCTGTAAATATTTATGTTGTTAAGTGATAGCAAGAAACGATGAAACGACAGTTGAAACTAACAATTCAACAGACACAAGTATTTCAGCTTTTGAACAAAAACAATCAACAGAAATATCATATACACCAACAATAGAAGAAATTGATAATTTGACGACGACTATGGTATCGAAGATTTCAGAAAGTACATCAGATACTACGTTGTCAACACATACATTCAGTAATGAAATCTTTTTCGATTTCCCATTTAGCATATATTCAACAAGTACAGGTCAGTCATTTTTGATTTAAAATTAATTGATTTATCATAGTTTAAGTAACTCACTAATTTGGAAACAGTTACATCGTAGAATTTTGCATAAAATAAATTGATCTGAATACTTGAAATATAGAAAATTTTTGGGCAATAAATTCAATTGGTACGAAATAATTGTCTTCATGATTCTAGGATACAGATGCTTTTAGTTAGACGC